TTTAAATAATAGTCTTGTTGGAACTGGCCCAAACTGCATTGACAGTGATAACAAAGAAAAGTCATAATAGGTCACCATGTCTTCACCAAACCAACATTTCAATGATGCCAATGGTTACGAGATCCCTTTGTCTCATAATAATGATTACTCTAATTGGAGTGAAGATTTGGTGACCTCAGAAATAATTCCTCCTTCCTCTTCTGCAATTTCGTCTCCCATCATAACAAATAATGATGACTTTGCTCCTTTAACTTCAAAAATTAAATTACTTTCTTCAACTTCCACCACTTTAAAACCAATTCAACTGACATTTACTAAAAACATTATTCCAAATTCAAAAATCACATCAAACTGTTCGAGTAATTTAACTTCCATTAGTCAATTTTCATTTTCATCATCATCAGTAGTTGAAGAAACTAAAGAAAACTACTGGTGGTCAAAAGAGAAAGGTTGAAGGTATAGAAGAAAAAGAACAAAGACAATGTGAAAGGTGTGATATCATCATTCCATTATCAATTAATCAACGAAATAATTCATTAATTGATTTTTTGATAATAGAATACTTTGAAATCAACATGCAGCACAAATATCAAGAGATAAAAAAAGAAAACAAATGACTGATTTAGAGGCACAGAACACAGTTCTTAAAGAAGAAAATATACATTTATCAAAAAGATTAAAGATTGTAGAAGAGGAAAATTCAATTTTATCGGCTAAATTAGATACCATTTTAGGGCAGCTTGCTGAAATTCAATCGCAACTTTCCATTTCCGAGATGAACAAAGTCCTACTTGACGGTGTTTGCGGATCAGCAGTATCCGCGACCTTGGAAACTTCAGTTTCTTTTAATGATGATGATGATAATAATAAAGAAGAAGAAGTAAAAAAAAGCAATAATAATAATTATTATAATGATTATTTTAATCAATATCATCAAGAAATTAATGTTTCCAAGAAGTCCCTGCAGCGGCACGTCAAGTTCAGGAACCTTTACGGGACATCATCACAAATCCATTTGCCATACAACCATCAACAACAACAGAATTGTCAGATCCTATTATTTCAACTAATACTGAAACAAGCCTTGTTGACCTTTTTGATAGCTTTTTGGACTATGATTGGGGATCAGAAGAATTTTCTTCATCAGTTCATCAACAACAACAATCTTCAAATGGTATTTGCTAATGATGTTATCATCTTGGAATTTATTCATTGTTGCTTATTAAATGGAAGACAACAATGTTTAAAATCATCCGTAAAGGCTTTACGTGGTTGTGCTGCTTCTAACCTGAAGCACGTTCCACGTGATTGGAGAAAATATCCACCATAACAAATATTTATAATATATCATTAATATTTTTATTTTTGTTTATTCTATAAACTATTTACTATTATTATTAACAAATAAAATAAAAAAAGCCAATTTTTTTTATCACGTATATATTTGATATAATGATAAAAAAGAAAGTCT